GGCGGGGGGTGGGGGGTGGGGGAGAAGAGAGCGTTTGTGTTTGATAACTTGAGGAGGGAGTGGAGGAGATAATTAGGAATGGGTTGGGCTTTGGATGGGGTTGATGAGGATGATATATCGAAAATACTCAATTTAATCTTCTTGCTTTAGAAGGGAGGAATAGGGTCGAGGTGGGACTACTCTAGATATATTTTCTGAATGGTAATTGGTTGGGATTGGATCGTATTACTATGATGCTTGAGAAGATTCTGATTTCTTGACAGCAGGTTCTTCATCTTCGTTCTGTTCCTGCGACTGTTGTTGGTCATCCCCGTGAATGCGATTAAAGTAATAATTACGATTGTATTCCAACAGTAATAGAATATCTTGAGCTGCAGGATGCACCAGGTCCGCCCATGTTTCCCAGAGGGGATGGGAGATGAAATCAATGAAACTGACCTGAAAAGGGTAAAAGAAATGCAGTTACTAACAAATACTCGCTTGCCATCTCAACATTAGAGCTGAGGATAATAATAATGATAATAACTCTAAAGTACATTTATAAGAAAGTACCTTTCACTGAAAATTTTTGGTGGAGAGAAGGGATAATGGTGCCTTCACTTTGTTTAAAGGGAGATGACCAATCCCCTCTCAAATGTGAATCTTTATTTCAAAGAACATACTAACTAATACGCCAACCAACTTCCGATAACATATACTTATTTTAAGTTCTTCAAAAATGGTTAATTTAAGGCTACAATGCTAAAGAGTCTAAAGCTTTGAATAGCTTGCTCTGTAGAATTGCTCAGAAAATTATGCGGTCAAGGCCTTAGAAAGAAGAGTTCAATTGGGGGTTGCTACGAAGCATTCGCTAATTCTCTAGTGAAATGTGGCGCCAATAAGAACAACCGAAGTGTTTATAATACATGTGTGCAATGTTTCAAGAATGAACTTTGTTTTTGGCTATAAATCATAGTCCCTTGCAAATAGGTCTTGAATAAAAGCCAACTAATGTAGATTGTAGTGTTTACCTGAGATTTTTCGATAGTGGCGGTTTCTCGATCACACATAGGCGAGATGTCTAGACCGGCTGCACGTTCACGATCACCCTGAAGGAAAAATTCCTCCATGAGTCGATGCATCCACTTAGTGTAGAGTTCAAGGGGCTTTGCGGTATTGGAGAGATCCGCGCAGTGAACCATGTTTTGCAAAATCTGAATATATAGAATCAGAGGGAGGATTATTGTAGATTTCTTGGGGGTCGCAATCATTTTAAACCACTTTGACAAGGATCTTGGAATAGTTTTGCTCAAACTGTCCATAACTATGACAGTAAAGCTACCTTAAAACCCCGTTCAAATTATATCATATAGCCTTTCAGATAAAAAATGAACTCCCATTAGTAAAGTGAGATGACCAAGGAAAATTTAAGGCAGAGGAAGACATTAGGAAAAAAGGAGAATTAGAAGGAAAAGGAGAAGGTATGGAGCTAATTGAAAAGAGGTCTAAATAAAGAGGCCAAAACAAAGTACGATAGAAGAGTAGTTGACTGTTGTACGTTCTTTATTCACCCAATAATAAATTTCATCTGATAGCTGGCACCACACAGAGCCACGAGGCTACACGTAGCAGCCTTTATCACCCTCGCTATACCGACCAAAAGCTAGCTATCATTGAAAGAAATTAGATCATTTATGGCTTCGTCCCTCGAACACACCCTTTATAGCCCCACCCATTTGAGAGATTTACACACCTTTTCCTGTGTAATCCGCTATTCGTGAAAGTTAAGTTTGAATTTTTTAATAATGTTTATTGAAAAGTGAACTACCTGCATGCGATCAGTGTAGTTATCGAGATTAAGAATTCCTGAACCGGCAACTTTTTTTGTTTCCACCATGGTTTTCAAGTCAGCTAGGAGGGACATGTGTTTCGACATATCCGTGGAAAGTACCTGCAGCCAATAATTGCATGTTACTTAAAGGACATTAGTAGTAATGAGTATTAAACACTGGTCAATGACTCTTGCATGCAGTGAACTACTTAATTGAATGCAATTCAGCGTACCATATCAATGATCATACGTCGGAAAGAGGTGCGAACGCTCTTTTTGAGATTCACAAGAATATCGCAACCAGGAAAGGTGAGCAAATTGAAGGCCACTGCCAAGTGGTAATTCTCCAGCACCGAGGAGTCGTTGTACAATATTGCCAGTGCATCATCTAAAGTGTCAAACATCATGTAACTTATCAATTCAGTAACTCATTCCCGTGTAAAAGTAATCGTTAAATTAATCACCGAGCCGCGGAATTATTGGGTGGATCTGCAGTCACGTGTTGATAAAGTTAAATTGGAGGTCGGATTTCTTTAATTGCAAATCCTTGTTTAAACAAACAAATCACTCTGTGGCTAAGTAGTTGAGTGTTGCATCATTACTCAAGATTAGAACTGCATTACTTCGGTGGTTAGTTATTCTTCTCTTCTCTAGGGAAATAGGACTGCTTTGCGATATGGGTACAACCTCTCATTTAGTCAAGACATTTTTATCATAATTATTGCATCTGTAAATCCAAAATCAGGCTAAACTAATAGTCTATAGAGATCATAGAGTTAATAAGCGTTTCCAAAGATGATACTTGACTTAAGTTTCAGAGAAATCTTTCCTTTTTTTTAAATTAAAATCTTTGAAAGGCATTAATCTCTTTCTTCAATCAATTGAAAATTCTTTTATAAATGGAACAGAAACAGTAGCTAGTCAATTTATTTTAATCAAATAATTCCAAGTAATTTACTCATTTATACTAGATAATATCCGAATGGTCAAGAAAAGCACGATGTTATGAAGCAGACATTTGGCGTACGAATACACAATATAGTTGTAACGGTTTGGCACTACAATCATCATCTCCGAAAAGAGATCTTGAATGGAATTGGTTATATAAATTTCAAAATTAGGGCGTAAAATATCTTTATTATACTTCCTTCACTTTTTTAGCGCAATTAATTGATAAATTCTTGCGGTAGAAATTAAAACGTAAATGGCTAGCTATTAAGATCAAAAGCCAATCATTCTTTCAAAGGTATAATAATTGATTAGTGTTGAATTGCATCTTCAAGGATTTATTTGATTTAATAAGGCGTAAAGATTAGCTTATTTTGTTATCGAACAGTTTATTTAATCACAAAATTTATCAGCATGAAATAAAGACTGTTACGAAGTAGAATAACGAGATCTGAAATAAGTCATCATAAGCCATCTACTCAAATCCGTTTTAGTAGTAAATTGATAATTGTAACTTTTTAGTTGGGTGTCAATTTTCTGCTATAGAAAAAGACATACTTAAGAGATTAGACAGTAGGTACCACTTCTATGGACTGTACAACGTGGCCAAGGCTGGTCAATGGAATTGCATTCGCTATAGAGAAACCTGATTGTTTATGCAGGAGTCCTTCAGCCAATCAACAATCGATTTTACACAACGTAGAATAACATTGATTGAATTAAATGATGCGTCATGTGTGCAGCTTAACAACATAAACAATAGACACTTCCCACTTCATACGCTCTGTTTCCTGCTTGCCAATTTCGGGAAAAATAATACACTCGGGGACTTAGTCAGAAAGATAGTCAAATCTTTGTGCTATGTCCGTTACACTTTTTTCGATCACATGATAATAAAATTAAATAAAAAACTCTGCTTAGCTCTCTCTCTTATCAAAATCTGGTAAATAGACTATTTATAGTTATATGTCTCATTAGCTCAATTAGTGTGTCCCTGCAGTTCATTAAATTTAGGGCATATCGATAGAAAATATTCCCACATTTTTAAATTGATTTCAGTAGTATTAACGACAAAAAAGACTCACTGGTATTGATCAAGTATTGATTGGTAACAGCGGGATGGTTAACATCATGGACTGCACAGGCAATTATCACTGCAGCCAATTCGAGGTCGGTAAATACGGACTAAAATGGGACAAAATGAAGAAAAAGATAACTGATTGCCCACACAGTTCTGATATGTCATATTATGACCTTTTATTTACAAAGAAGGGTGTGCGATAGACTTACCTCTACGTGGTGAACCCTGGGCAACGTATAGTCATACGGTAAAAAAGTCGATAAACCGGAAGTTGGCTTCTGACTTCAAACTACCATGACCCCACTGTATGTCCTATTCGACCACTTCCAGAGTATTCACCTCACTTTACCTTCTTCTAGACATTTGTATCTTTCTCTTTTACATATGTGAATCACTCTTATGTTTCCCTCAAATTTCAACTTCTTGCGACTTTGATTTTACCTGTTTCTCCCCTCTGTGAAGCCCGAATTCAACTAAAGTGCTAATGAAAACTACCATAAAGCCTGTCATTTGATAAAACTTATTTACAAAGGAAATAGACCTCAAAGCTTTTCAGACCACCTAATTGGAAGCAATCCATTATGGTTAAGATTGGGGGGAGGAGCGGGGCTAAGGAGATTTGGTCCATGAAGTAAATATTTGTTTCCTTCGCGGCAATTCGGCTCAGTGGAATATAATATGCTATTTTGCCCACATTTCAACTAATTCTTTGAAGAGCTAATGAAAATTGAGCCCTTGAAACTCCTGTTAATCGACGCGCCTGAGGAACAATAACTACGCCGGTGGGGAGCAAATGATTTGCCTACGTTTCTGTTAACATTATCCCCACATACAATTCCCTCTAAAGTGAGATTTTACAATGATATGGAGATGAGAATGGCAGCGTTTACGCCATTTCCGCTTAGATATGAGAGTGGGATTCCAAACCCCTTTCTGAACCCTAGTACTCCGTATGGCTATTTATTCCGTTAAACACTACACCAGTGGGACTCATGATTAATGAATGTCGTCTCTCTTCCCTTGTAATTTCGAACCTAAAAAACTAACTTTGTCCCATTAAACCGTAGAACTATGTTGAAGGCAAACTCTTAAGGTAACAGACTTTGCATATAATGCATTCCTGTACCTTTGTGACTAAGCTCTCCAAAGTACTGTTTATTTTAAGATGGAGCATATGACGTCAAATCAGAATTGAAATTGAATGGTTTGCATTGATAAGAATTGTACAGTGGAGCTGAGTAGATGAACAGAAATATGTATTTTAAAATAGCCAACTGCGTCAAGAATTTTCTAGAACTTATTGTAGGCGGCTGGTGAACAGACTGTAAATTGCAAATAAATATGTTAGTTTGAAGTCAACTTCTGGTTTATAGATCAATTTGAAGTGTGAGTATACGTTGTTCAGGATGAAACACATGGAGGTAAGTCTATTGTACACCCCTAGTAAATTAATATTCACAAGCATATGTTCACTGTGCACAACGTGCTAACATAATTACCCAACATACTAAACAAACATATTCCTCGTAGGTACGATTTAAGGGAATTGAAAGGCAGACGACAGAGGCGAAGGGTAATGAGGCGCAATTACCTGGTGTACCTGGCATGTTTCATTAAATATTTCCGCTCAATCCTAAGCTCATCTGATCAAAAAACTAAAAATATATCATCATGTGGTCAGGTTGAAATCACCAAATTTATTATGCAGCAGCGCGCTCTCTTCTTGATTATGGTGAAAACAGGAATTGTCATTTGTATCTATTTCGTTTTTTTTCCACCTATTATCATTCTGTTGTTCGCTATTCTGCCAGTATCCCACTACCACTACCACGACCACCACCACCACCTCCTCCTCCTCCTCCTCCTCTACCTCTTCCCTTAGCCACACATTCAAGCGGGAATGGTGATCGATCGCCAGGGAAGTGTTGATTGGTCGAGGCCGTAGCACGAACTAACCAATCAAAGTGGCCTGAAGGGCGTGGGGAAACACGTACATTCCTCCTACCCTCTTCTTTTTACCTCCCTTTAGCCTCTAAAAACGCCCCCCCCCTACCCCTGGCTCTCTGTATCATTAGCCCTTCCTCATTGCTATTATAATTACTGTTTTTTATTTTATTTAGCAGGGCGTTTTTCTGTCCATCCACTTATTGCGCCAACCTTACCTATCTATCGACCGAGTTTAGCCAGACATTATGCTATTAGCCAATTAGCAGTTGATTATTTCCGCGTCTAGAATTTATTACAAAATGATTTAGACCTGAGGTTAAAATTAGAGGAAACAGGAAGAGACCTGTCTAATTCCGTCAGACATTTTCAGCAATAAGTTTATTAATAACTCCCAAGGTACTACTCACCTTGGATAAAGTAATGCAGCATGTTTGCTAAACACGGTTTCAGGCGACAAATTTACTAGTTAGATTAAACCAATGTCATCAAACCCACTACCTCCAGTTTGCCAGGAGAACGCGTTCACCACCGCGCCAACAGAGAGGAATAAGATTGACGTCGTCATTTTCTTAAGCAACTTTTAATGGAGGGATTTTGTAAAGCTTGAAGGCACTTTCAAGGTGAGTCTCTGATATCTGTCTTTTTCATGCTCCTTGCTGCGTTGTATCAGTTTCCTCGAAGTGCATCGAAGTGTCTAGGTTCACTTTTTTTGCAACTGACGTCGATGCCACTTAGGCGTCTTAGGGCTGATTGATTTTAGTCCGACTCACTTAGAAAATTGCTTTAAGCACATTGAATGAATAGAATGGGAAATAAGCAAAGTAACCTAAAACTTGGGTGTGAAGGCATTGCCTTTTTTGCGTGATATAGGGAAGTAAATCGTATGTTATATGAAGCATAAAAAGGTTACCTTATTTTGAAAAATTGAAACACTGATGCACTCTACTGACAAATGGAACAACTTTAGTTCTTTTACCCTTTGAAGAAGTAGAACAGATCAGCACTCTTAACAGTTAAAGAATGCAAATAGGAGAAAATATGCATTAACTTCTTTTATCAAATCAAATCCTATGCTTGAAGTACAAAGTACCTCTTATGAAATCAGCAAATATGGTGTGATTTCGACGGTCTCTTTAGCAAGAACAACTATTCGCGAGTCAATTATATGCTCATAAAATTTTGTGGGAGAAATAGGCAGGCTTTTTTTACCCTACGTTATTTAAAATGGAGCACCGCAGTTACTATTTATCTGATTTTTGTAATTGAAGTGAATTCAAGTTGGTGGCAAAATGTCATTATTATTATTATCATTCTCAAGATCGGATTTATTTAAATAAAAAAGGAACCTTTTCGGGGTTATCCACCTCAACTCCTTGAAATATTCAAATGCTTAACGATGTAGTCAAAGAATAAATCACTTCCCAAATTTTCAATAAAAGATGCTCCAGAGGTGAAAAATAAAAGCTTAAATTAAAACCTTCAAGAATTTAGTATGAACCACGATGGGGACTTGTTTTTCGTCTGTTACTTTAATCTTTATCATTAATTTGAAATACATACTCATGGAGTTGGACGCTGAACTCTCTCCAGCTCGAAGCGAATTCTTCAATAAGAAAATCCAATTTCCATATTGGAACTCAACAATTTTTGATTGTGTTTTCAAGGAATCAGCCTATGCAAAAAACTAAATGAGTTCGTGTATTGATTAATTTGTAGTGACCTTGACTCTATCTTTGATTGACTGTGATTTTAATGCGCCTATTCTATTCTTTTGCCTAATTTTCACATCCACCGTTTATAGTGCGCTCAATTTTTAGCTCTAAATTACTTTTTGCCTATTTATCGCAACCACTTACAATGGATCATTGAAGCGAACTTTATTCTAACGGGATTGTTAGTCAGTAACCCGACTCAATCTCAAGGCAGCAGTCACTGCCTTCTTTCTATCTTCTTACACCCGGGGTGTGCGATAGACTTGCCTTCACGTGGTGCACCCTGGGAAACGTATACTCATACGGCAAAAAGTCTATTAACTGGCAGTTGACTTCTGACTTAAAACTACAATCACTCCACTCTATGTCATATTCGACTACTTCCTCAGTACTCACCCCACCTTTTCTACCTCTGTGTCTGTCTCTTTTACATCTTTGAAACACTCTTCCGTCTCGCCCCCCACTCTCGACTTCTTCACTCTGACGTTTTTCCCCTCTGTGAAGTCTGAAGTCAGCGAAAGGGCGAATGATAACTATCAAAACGCCTACCATTTTAATATAAATAAATTAAAAATCTTCTTACACCCTAAAAATGTAGTGTCTTAGAGGACTTCAAACTTGGTAGGTGTATCTTATACCCATCCCCGTCTCTAACCTTAAGCCCTGAGCACGATAGGCTCCTCAGCAAAGTTGAAATCGAAAGGGTTTTCTTTAACTCTCTTGTTAACGATGCAATTAGGGACTACAGACAGAGCCAAATCGAATGCCAGTAACCATAGCAGGAGAGACTTGAACGGAGGCAGACGTGTTATAACCGAATTACTACTCGTGTATACTGGTGGCTTCATGTCTCGACCTGTTTGTGATTGTAGTTTCATTTTCAACCAGTGAATATTCAATTGTCGAAAAAAACTCATGCATACTTGTCGTAAGTACCTTGAGTTCATCATTAAAATGATTCTACGAGTGGAAATAAACAGCAATCATCAATCATAACTCAGAAGACGGCGGTCTTCTTAACCATTTCAAAAATTGATGGGAGACCTCTATATTATGCTTTTGAGAAAGCTAAAAAGTATTAATCTTAAACTAGGTTAACCGACTAGGTGTAGAACATGAAGTTTGAGCACTCGAAAATGTCATCTCATATTTAGTGAGGAGTCCATGGACATTGGGTGGTTGATTACTAGATAGGCAGAAAGTAAGTTGAAACGTATGAAAATGCATTTTCAGGAGTGAAAGGAACAACAGATATTTTACCTCTTGGATGTGGTGCACAATTTAACAAGATTGAGGTGATACATGGCTCAGGTACATGGACTCAAAAACTACAATTCACCTTAACTAAGGCAGGGAATTGAGCAAGAATAGTGCCTTCAAACAACAAGCTCAAGAGATAGCGAGCCACCCCCTCCCCCACCACGCCATTCTCTGTTCTATCTCCATCCTTGTAGTTTCTTTGAGATGAAGAAAATGGGTAGCATAACTTCATATCCAGTAATTGAAAATGTCCCAATATTGAATGAAAATGTACTACTTGAGTAATTGATGAGTAGGTGATGGGTGAACTTACTTCAAGAGCAGGGGCTTGTAAGAGCACATGGACGGATTGAACAACATCGGCAGCATGGACTTTATTGTGGTAGGGAGTATAGGCATTGTAGTGCTCTTCCACTGACCTCAGATATCGCAGAAGATTCCAATGGGGAATTTTGAACTTGTTTATCAAGCCTCGATTCTAAAAAGAAGCCAGGGAAGGAGAATTGCACTTTATCTAAGGTCTTTGGGCAGTGATAAAAACTACTTAGCCTCTAAAATGACTCCAAATCCCGAAACCTAACAATAACGTGAAAACGGCTTGAAGGTAGACATTCTGCAAAGCAAGAGCCCTGTGAGTGAACATATTTTAGCTCAAATATGCAAATTTTGTGAAAAATGAGCAATAACCTGTTAATTATCTTTTTGATCGAAAATGATTCGTTTTAAATAGACAAAGAGAGAGTAATTGATGGTTACTCTCCACAAAGATGGTTCGATGCCAATATTATCCGATCTTAATCATTTAGAGGTGAGCGATCAAGAAGATGAGCGCTAGAAGTAGAGCCTTGCTTGTGATGGAGACGAATCAAGCTGGAGGTCTGGAAATCGGACTTTTGCTTGATTATTTTAAATGTGTACAAAATGAAGTGGAAATGAATACAGGAGGACTTGTACATATTTGGATGCGAAAAGCTAACTTCCCGAAGTTGAGAACTAGATAAACTTATTTCTATCTCCTACAATTTTTTTTCTTACCAAGGCCTTCTTAATTAATAATAACCAATTCGAATTCCACATCCATTATATTTTACGAAACTTTTTTACATCATCAATGCCTTTCGCCTCTCCCCAACTATTCCGAACCTTGAAGTAAAACTGTTGAAGTTTTTTGAATCGAATTTATCCCTCGGGTACTGGTGATATCGATCATTCAAATTCATGACCACAAAGGAAGTCCAAGTACCATTAGAGTACTTGTTAATTGGGCTCAGATTGGCCTATGATCATGGGCAGTTTTAAAGTAAGTTACTAAGAGGTCGCCTTTTATTAACAGGTAGCTTAAAATATCCTCCTCTGCTATTAGATAAGGCATTAGAAACAAGCTGATAACTGGAAATGATAATTACGACAGGTTGATCGTTAAACATACCTCAAGGTTAAATTCCCCCACAAGTTAGTCCAGTCGTCTTAGGGTACATTTTTATATTTGTAATTTTCTTTAACCGTAAACTTGGGTTGTAATTTTTGCGTGTTACTGGGTTGTTATACAAACAAACAGCTGTCAAAAGTCGTTTCTCTTTTAAACGAATGATTTGTTCTTCCATCATTCTGCCTTTCGAACTCGCAAAAAAACCCATGGCTTTCAAGAAAAGCCTGAGTGCGAACCAATTTGATAGGTGCCTGAAGCACGATTCTTTCAGAAGGGTACATTTACATACTACGGATAGTCTCTTTTTCGCACTTAACTTACTCCCTATTCCCCTAGACAGAGCCATGATTTTTGTATGGGCTTGATAAAGATTGATGGGTTTAAATGGATTCAACTGAATGCGGTTTGGAACATGGGCATTTTTATGCTAATTAGCTTCTAATTAATCAATTAATATTGATACATACCTTGAGAATTGTATAGGTCACACAAGTGAGAGGACTTGAGGTACACTCGGCAAGTTTAAATATATCCATTCCCCATTTGTCGAGGCCTTCGTCAAGGAGCTGAAAAGCAAAGGGAAAGGTGGGGGTGGATTTAATTAAAAAAAACAATGGAAACCATATGAGCATTGTATCCGATTTTAATCAATTGAAGGCGTAAAATATGGGAAGGTTTGATTCAAATTTTTGAGTGCCTAGAAGTAGTTGGCATTGAATTTGTAACATGACATTAACCCCTCTAATAAGCGTCAATCCTCCCTTTTATAAATGACATCACGGACTATACCAAGGCACCGATTATTTTGAAGTTACCCTGAATTACATCCATCTTGGTATGCACTGAATCGATAATCAAAATCAAATACCCATAATTAATGAATTACAGAATATACGCTCTTTCTTCTTTGACTATGAATAGATTAGAATTAGTTTGTGAAATGCGGGAAAATAGGTGATCGACTGAGGGTAATGAAAAGAATGATTGGACAGGAAAAGTGGACCATGCCGACAACTCAGATTGGGAGGGTTTTAATTGCGTTTGGGCGGCAGCATGGCAATTAAAAACCAACAGCTGATTGAAAACGAATTTGATTGGAAGGAAGTCACTCTTGAAAGGGCTTATGGCACACGCACACGCACACACCTCCACCCTTTCAAAAACACTCCAAATTCTCTATTAAAAAAGGAGAAAGTAAGCCTTTTTTGAAGAATTGTTTATCTGAACCGAAAAATAGCTAAAAATAAAGTTTTAAGAAGAGGGGAATAAATAAACACTTGTTTGCAGACTTTATCAACTTTCGGCATTTTAACGCCTCCTGCAAACTATACAGAGAGCATATCAGTTAAACCAAGAAAAATTGAGCCAAAAACGATTCAAATTGAAGAATGAGAAGTTGTGAGACATGTGAATGCAACCCTTGTTTGCAAACATAATTTTACAGAAAGTTTGGGATTATACACACACACTAGAGAGTGGATATCAATCAAGCCCTCTTTTAGATATTAAACTAACCAAAAAAAACAACCCCATATTGCCAATCATAGAAAAATTTATTACAGCACACTTATTCGAGTCGGGATTGATTTAGGGCGAAAAAAAGTGTGAAATTACAGAATTGGCGAAAAATGTCTCAATCTACTGAAGTAACAAACATACGTCTAGAATTTCAAACTACCGAAGGTGTGAAAAAATATTGGTTGTTCTGGTAAAGTTAAGGAAATAAACTCACTGCGAGCGCTGAAAGAAGATATAAATGGAGTTTACTGAGGTGTCTATCAAGGAGACAAAAATAGGCGGTTGCTAATCAATAGCATTTGGCTGAGTAATATTAAAACGCCAATTAACTTTTTACAGCTGTTTTATAGTCAAGAAATATAGTTGAGGAGTGGCCTGGTGTCTTTCATTCTAGCTGTCAGTCACCACATAGAGACATAGGCGCATCGTCATGATTGGTGCTACATGACTAAACTGCTGTATGCACTAATAGAAATGGGTGTAAGATGTCTTCTCGGTCACCTTCAAATTATCTGGCCTGGTAATTAAATTTAAGTCTTCAAGTCTACTTTCACTTCTGGAGTGTGCGATATAGTTATCTCCACATGGTGCACCTGGGCAACGTATACCCATAAGGCAAAATAGTTACTAAACCGGCAGTTGACTTCTAATTTCAAAATACAATGAAACCACTGTATGCCATATTTCATCCCTTCCACAGTACTCACCTTGCCTTTTCCTCTACCTTTATGTCTGTCACTTTTGCATCTGGGAATCACTCTTCTGTTTCCCCCTCAACCCTAAATGAAGCCCAAAGTCAACTGAATGGCATAAGGTAATCATCATAAAGTTGCCTATTTCGTGGGTAAGCGGAAATTGAATAGTTTTCAAATCCTTTACGAAATATGATTTCCTAATGTCTTGAAGGCTCTCTTATTAAGACCAAACTCCGTCATTACTCTTTTTACCAGTGTTCATCACTAATTATCTCACCCTTAGATGAATGTTTCAAAATATTTTACTCAATTACTGACAGTGTTGATGTAAAAATACAGCTATTTTTATAGAAAATATAATACGCAATTTTGTAATATTCGTAATAATTGGACATACAACGATCAAATCTTATTGGGTTTTTATTTCTTTCCTAGGTACTCCATGTCGGGGCAGTTATTTGACAAAGACATATCAGTAAAGTGACATGTAGGACGGCGCAACTCTACGCATGTGGACCACGAGTTTTCTTGCAGTACTCATCCCACCCCTCTCTCACCTTGGGTTAACTACTTACTGCCGTTTTACGCCATATTCTTCACTTTTGCCTTCTTAGCTCCACACGCGGACTTGCCACGGTCTTATCTGCTTCCCTTCTCCACCACACGCCACTTCGCATTTACCAACCAGTTTCGTTGGGTTACTTGGCAGGAAGCCGGCTTGCTGTAACTACTATGCTACAGACAGTTATGTACACTATAGGGACCAAAGCAACTGGTTTGGCTGCATCACTCATTGTGATATGATCTGTAGTACTAACTAGGACCTGGGGTGTGCGATAGACTTACCTCCACGTGGTGAACCATGGGTAACGTATACTCATATGGCAAAAAAAGTCTAGGAACCGACAGTTGACTTCTGATTTCAAACTACATGATTCTAACCCCATGTTATATTCCACCACTTTCACAGTACTCATCTTACCTTTTCTCTACCTTCGTGTCAGTCTCTTTTACATATGTGAATCACTCTTCTGTTCCCCCTCTCAAATTTTTCCCACTTCGATGTTCCTCTCCTCTGTGAAGTCTGAAGTCAACTAAAGGCTAATGATAACTATCAAAACGCCTACCATTAGAAATAAATAAAAATTTAAGGCCTTGTTTGGGCTATAAATGTTTCGATCCACAGCTAAACGGTAAATTTATACCAGTGATAAAGTTAATAGGCACCCATTTTGAAAATACAAACATGCTGTACCATTTGCGCAGCTAAATATACAAGGAGAAAATTGTGAATTCCCATAAATCCCAATAAATAGAAGGTTCGTGAACGTGAATGAAAACTTTATTGCCAACCTTTATTCAAGTATGTTATATCGCCCTCGTAAAGAGTATTTTACTATTAAATGAGTCACTATTCATGCAGCTAATTGTTTATTTAATGCCCCCCCCCATCTATTCTTATGGCTTTACTCATTGTGCCTATTTGAAAATAAGCATCCGATTGGACACTAGCATAAATAACTTCGCGAATTTCTGTGTTGCTGAGAAATTTTATATTTAATTTTCAATCAAACTATATATATATATTCTCTCTTAAGAGGTATATGAGTGTAACTGCGCCCAACACAAAACATAGCAAAAGCACCATAGCAACAATAGTGACAGCAGCAGAGGATATGCTCGAGCAAGGCAAGGCTTCACAAAAATAGTTGGGGAGGGGGGTGTGGGAAGAATGGAGGCTATACTAACTTCTACCCCAGCCAGTCTCCTTTCTCCCTCCCTTCCCCAGCTCATCTTCCTTTAAGTCAGCAAAAGAGGAGGCACATGATAGTGAGGAACCCAGACACGGAAATTTAACGGGCGTTAGCTGATCATTTATCACTCACACACACTC